ACAATAAAGACCACTTATAATAGGCCAACAGCTCCTGTTCTGCGGAATGAGGAAAAGCTGAAGCATTCACCAGAGACCATGGCCACGTTCACCACTTCTACCCCAGACGGAGTCTGAAGTTCCCACCTGAGCAGTTAAGCGAGAGGAAGAAGTAAAGGGCATCTGGATGGAAAGGAGGTAAATTCTCACTGTTTTCAGATGGAAATTATCTATGGAAAACGCCAGAAAAGACTTCCAAAAATGACAGCAACAAATGAGCTCAGAGAAGTTGCCAGACAGAAAGCCACCAGACAAAATGAACAGTATTGGGTGAAACTATAGCTCAATGGTAGAGTACTTACCAGATGTGTAAGGCCATGAGTTATAGCCCAGCCACACACACACGAAGACACACACCCACACCAGTAGTTTCTATATAATGATGGCCAATTATTTGAACAGAAATCAAGAAAGCAGTCCAGTTTTCAATAACACCCTCAAAAACCTAGGCATAAATTAAACCAAAAAGGTAAAAAAAAATATGTGATGAAAATTATTAAACATTGACAAAAGTAATGGGAGAAGAATAGAAAGGCATCCTAGGTTCATGGTTTGGAAGAATCAGCATCATCAGAATGTCCAAAGCAATCTCTAGATTTAATATAATCCCTTCAAAGTCCCAATGATGTTCTTCAAAAACTAGGAAAAACTATTAAGGAACTGTAAAACCTTGAGTTGCTAAAACCATCTTTAGTAAAAAGAATGAAGGAGGCATTATACTACCTGTCTTTGAAATATACCACAAAGTTGTAGTAACCAAAGCAGTATGATATTGGCATAAAAACAGACACATGGACCAAAGGAACAGAGCAGAGAGCCCAGCTGTAAACCTCTATGCGGCCTGGTTTTTGACAAAGATGCTAAGACTGTGTATTAGAGAAAGGTCAGCCTTCAATAAGCGGGGTGTGGAGCCACGCAGAAGCGACATGACCCTGACCGCTCACCTACACAAGTCACCTCAAAATGATCCAAGGCTCCTGTGTAAGATCCAGAGCCACAGAACTGCCAAAGAAAACAGGAGAAGGGCTCCAGATGTGGGCAAACTTTGTTTTGGAGAAGATTCCAAAGGCATAGGAAGCAAAAGCAAAAACAGGCAAATGGGTTTGTGTCGCTTCTGTGTGGCACAGGAAATAACCAGCCGGCTTCCTCCTACCTGGTAGTGGAGAGCACACTCGCAAGCCGCAGCTGGCAGACCAGGCAAGGAACTCCGAAGCCTTGGGACAAAAATCAGATTAACCCAGTGCAAGAAGGGACAGGAAGCCTGAATGGGCACATTGCTGCCAAGCAGGTTCACGGACGTGGCTCAGCATCACCGTGGTGACGGGGAAGTGCTCACCAAAGCCCCACGAGACCTTACCCACCCCGAGAGATGAAATCTGGGGAGAACGTGGAGAAAAGGGGAGCCCCACCCATGAGGGCACGGGTGCAGGGGAGGCCCATCACGGTGGTTACAAGATGGGTGGCCCTCAAAAGAAGTAAAATTCAGGCTCGGCACCCAGTGATCCCACGGTCCATTTGTCAGAGACATCTGGACGCCAGTGCTCACTGCAGCACTGGGCTGGGTAGCAGAGTCAGGCAAACCGCCGCCACACCCATCTTCTGACGAGCAGATAAGATGCAGCACATATATGCACAGTGGAATACTATTCAGCATAAAAAGAATGGGATCTGTCACCCTATGCCGAGTGTGGAAAGATGAAGCGTTGCTTCACTTGTGGAGTCCGCAGTAGAAGAGCCGACCTCAGAACTGTGCAGTAGGATGAGCCTAGCTACCTGCAGTACGCTGGGTGTTTTAAAAGGAAAAGGTGCCAGGACTTGACAAATGTTGAACCTGACTCAGACATTTACAATATATATATAAGTACCTAAGTATCACATTGCCCCATTAATACATGGTCTTTGTGAGTCAGTTAAAAGTAAATTTGACTAAGCCGGGCACCGGTGCCGCACGCCTGTAATCCTGCTTACTCAGGAGGCTGAGATCTGAGGATCATAGTTTGAAGCCAGCCCAGGCAAGAATGTCCTTGAGGCTCTTATCTCCAACTAACTACCAAAAAGCTGGAAGTGGAGCTGTGGTAGAGCACTAGCCTTGAGCAAAAGGGCTCCTGGGCCCAGAGTTCAAGTCCTAAGACCTGTACCTAAATAAGTAATGCCCAAATAAAACCTTTACTACAGAGTCATGCTGTAAGCGTGAGGACATGAGTTGATCCCCAACTCTGACAATAAATAATAAGCTTTGGAAACAGAATAACTTGATCTGACAGTGGTTTGCTTGGAATGTTCAGTCCACGTTAGTTCAGTTGGGCTTTTATACACATTCTTAACTTGAATTACAGTGTATTTATGTTTAGTCGTGCGAAGTCAGTGTATAAGTATAATGCATTTCCATCGACGTTGCCGCTTTCCCGCCCTCCCCGCCCCTCCCTCAGGCTTCCAGCATTGCAGGTTACGCAGTGATTATCACCAGTGGCCCCTTCTTCTCTTCATTCATCTTTCCTCACCTCCTCCACAAACCTTTCAAGTGCCATCTTCCTGGCATGCGTTTTGCTGTGCTGTTAATTTTTCTAAGGAATTACACTGTTTGAATCCTGCCCTCAGAGGCCATACTTAGGTTACTGCTTTGGTCTACCAAGCCAGCGGCCACGTTAGCGCGGCGTTAGAACCCTTCAGCCTCAGTGGCTCCCACTTCCGGCCTCCAGGGCATGCCAGCCCCTCCATCTGCCAGGCCCCGCCCGCCTGGCTCTGGGGATCCCTGCTGGGCCTCCAGATCTGGCCCACGGTGGCACCCAGAACCCTCTGGAAAACCTTGAGCTTCAGTCTCGGCGCTGTGGAAGTGTGCTCTGACTTTGAGAGGAGAGGCTTCCTGTGTTTTGCCCCTCATCCCTCGCTCTCCATATTCAGAAGCTGCCCAGATCATCAGGGATGGAAGGGCTGCATGTCCTGCCAGGGCCCGGCGCCATCCTCTCGGGGACCCTGGCCTCGAGCTTTTTTCTTGACCACACTGCTGCTTTCTCTGTCCCTCGGCAACGGCTCTCTGCCTGGGAAGACTCCAGATTCCCAGCCTCTGGCGCCGTGCCCAGAATGCAAATGCCCCGGGCCCACGCTGTGACCGGCGTCTCCTGTCCCCTGCAGCCCTGCTCTGGAATCTTGGCCTCCCAGTATCCGCTGCTCTGTCCTTTCATTCCTTTGGGCGGACTTTAACATGCTGTGCAGAGCGGCTAGCTGTGGGGGGGAGCCTTGCCCAGTGCCGCCTTGGGCTGCAGCTTCCTGTGCGGGCAGAGTCTCTGCTCCAAGCCACACGGAGGTCCTGAGCGTGAGGGCTTTTAAAAAGAAAGTTCTAGCTTTATTTTCACTGTGGATGAGCCAGCGGTGCTGATGCCAATCTGACATGATGGCCTGGAGTGCCGGCTTTGCCTTTCTGTGTGTGGTGAGCATGCATGCGAGTGTGTAAGTGTGTGTGCACGTGTGTGTGCATGTGAGTGGACTGGACACTGTCTCTTCCGGAGAGCAGCCCGCCCCAGTGATGTTACTGAGCTTTGGGAATGGCTGCATCTTCACAGTCAGCATGGCGATGCAGAGGTGGCCGTCTGTCCTTACTACACCACCGTCTCTGCTTGCTGACTTACATCACAGATCCTGCTGGATCCGGTTAGGGATGGAGTGCTACACTTGAGCAGACCTTGCATGGTGGAGTTGAACATGGGCTCTGACAGACATGCCGTGTCCGTCTCATGATTTCCAGGTCCAGGGCTGTGCGTGTCCGGCCTCCACCCGCTGGGCCCAGGGCTGCCTCTGCCCCCTTGCTCCCTGCTGGCGTGTCCGAGATCCCAGACAGCAGTTTGTCCCTGGAAGGAAGCACAGCAGAGTCTCGTGCTGTCCTCCCGTCCACCTGAGCTGGTCCACGGGTGGGCTCTGGCAGACGCCAGGGCCTGGAGGACGCTGTGGGTATCGTGGTTGGGTGTCAGCCGCAGGGAGGGGGGTAGACTCTGGAAGGGCTTTGTGCTGAGCGTCAGTCTTGGCTGTTCTTCGGAGTTCTAGAATTAGGTCCGAAGCTGTGCCCAGTTCCTGCGCCCCGGTGCAGGCTCTCCCGCCTCGATCCCGGGTCCCAAGGCACAGCTCAGAGGGCCGCGACATCCTTCTGTGACAGGTGGGCGGCACCGCAGGGCGCACCGCCGGCCGCGTTCTCCTCACGGACGTGGTGACCAGAGGGGTGAGGTAGAAGCCACCCTGTCAGAAGGGCCGTGCTGTGCTCTGAGTGTGGGTTCAAAGAGCTGAGGCCCCCCTGCCCGTCCAGATGCTTTGGCAATGAGGACTGGGCACCGAACAGACTTCCAGGTCATGTCTAAGCAGCAAAAGGCAGAGCCATTTCCCCTACACCAAGCAGAGCAGCACCCTCCACTGGTCCCTTGGGGGCAGCAGCTGGGGTCGGGCAGCTCTGGCGAGTCGGCTCTGGGCGGCGGCTGCTTCGCTGGTTGGCCGCAGAACGCGGGCAGCATTCCTGACAGCCTGGGCACGCGGGAGGCCAGATCTTGACCTCAAGCCTGGACTCCAGCCATCTGCACACCAGGCCCACAGCGGGCTAAGTCACAGCTGCAGAACCGCAGGGCCAGCGCCACACCTGCGTGCAGGCGGTGCCTGGTCCCCAGGGGAGGCTCCTCCAGGAGGAGCTCACGGGGAGGGAGGGGTCACTGTCCTGTCACTTCCATTCCTGGGACGGACCTCCGCTTACGCCAGGTTGACTTCCTGTCGCCTGGCTGGCCTCCGGCCTTGCTTTGTGCTGTGCCAGAGTCATCCGTCGGCGCGTGCCCTCCGCGCCACCCGCCCACCATGCCCGGCCTCTGGCCTCCGCTCACGCATCCTTCGGGGTTTCGGAGGGAGTCCGTGCCGCCAACCATCCAGGCACCGACAGTGCTTCTAATTCCTGTTCCCCTTCTTCCAGGGCGTGTCCTGACTGGCTGGGGCTCCTGCCTGCGGGACCCACACCACTGCCGAGATGGCCGGGGCGTCTGTGAAGGTGGCGGTGAGGGTCCGCCCCTTCAACTCCCGGGAGATGAGCCGTGACTCCAAGTGCATCATCCAGATGTCAGGAAGCACCACCAGTGAGCACGGGGCTGGGGTGGGGAATGGCTGCCCACCCACACCCAGAGCACGGGTCCTCTGTCCTCCGGCCCCGCGCCCTGGGGTGCTGGTCGCGGGCCACAGGCTGGGGAGGGCCTGCAAAACCGGAGGTCTGTTCTCAGAGGTCAGGAGGCTCCGGTGTGAGCCCAGGGGTGAGGCTGATGTACCCCTGGAGACCGTACCGTACGGTGGGAGCCCAGGTGTGAGGCTGATGACCCCCTGGGGACCGTCCTGGTGTGAACCCTGGGGGCCGTCCCAGTGTGAGCCCTGTGAACTGTCCTGGTGTGAGCCCCAGGGATCGTCCTGGTGTGAGCCCAGGGATGAGGCTGATGACCCCCCTGGGGACCGTCCCGGTGTGAGCCCAGGGGTGCGGCTGATGACCCCCTGGGGACTGTCCTGGTGTGAGCCCCGGGGATCGTCCCGGTGTGAGCCCAGGGGACCGTCC